CATGAGACTAAAGAATGTCACCCTGTGATGCTCAAGATTTGTACTCGAGAAGTCTCAGGTTCGATTCGCGCCCATCCCGGCCGAGTTTTTTTTTATCAGATTCTCTATGCAAATGTTGAAATACTGCCTCATAATCGATAATTATCGTTTCAATATACATCATTCCCAATGCGTTATTTATTTACAATCTAATCGTCCTTTCTTCTCTAATCAGTGCCTATGTCCTTAAGACCGGATACCCTAATATTTGTCTTAGTTTTACTCAGCCACTCTGAATAAGCGCCGGACGCAGTCTAAATTAAAACATTGACCACCTTTGCTTTCTTAAACGTTCCTTCTGATTCATTGTTTCGCTTTTCATCCCATAATTCGACATCACACAATCTGAGCTGTTGACATAATCGTTAAATAAAACAAAATTGAAAATTTCGGTTGTATTTCCTTTGTATGGTATATTTTATTTTTGTAGCATGCGAGCTATATTACGTTAAGTTATGTCCCACGTGAACTTTGATTTAGTCTTACAGCATGTCACGTGGAAAGAAGATAATTGAACGATAAGATTGCCGGAGGAGTATGTGTTTATAAAAGTAAACTCACGAAGAAATTTCTAACAGCTCACGTCTCTGACTATGCTACCAAAAGATTTCCGTAACCAACAGACTTCACTAGAATTTATTAACCTTTGTTCTCGTAGCAAAATCCCAGAGTATGTACCCACGTAGTGAAGGACATGAGTGTTTACTCTTTATTTAGTACTCAGAAGCCATAATTGGTTATATGAATCCATTCATCATCAAATGTGACTGTTAAACACTAATTTCACACGTCATTTCGCGATTAAAAGAATAAATAAGGAAGAGGAAAACAGGAAAAAGACAGTTTTGAAGATGACTGTCTCCTGGGATGAAGCGCCTTGTAGTCTGGTATATGTTTACCAACGCTTTAGAGATCCTTGCCACCTTCGTCATGAGGGTAATTGAAGACAAAGGCAGCACGTACCTCTGAAACGGTGGTAAAGTTTTACCAGACTACACCGCCCTATAACCCAGAAGACATCCATCTTTATTCTCATCGCCGTGAGAACCTCAAATACTAATAAAATAGTTTTAGTGATAATCTTCTTACGTGTTTGTTCAGTTGAACAAAAAAGGATCATGGACAATGTTCAGAAACTATCGATAGTAACTGTAGTTTCGATGGGACATGTGTGAATAGAAATGTGGGTAATGCGAATGTTAACAGCTGTTACGATATAAATATTGCGAGACCCGAGATAATAATTACGATCGCAAATAGAGCCATTTGTACCATAAATAGAGGGCACAGGCCAATACGATCGATAATAAGGCCACTGAGAATATGTCATTAAACTGGTAAGTTGTGCTAATTTACGGACATTTGATTTGGCATAGAACGGGATGATGATGTTCTTCTGCGAACTGTTTGGTAGAAGATGCAGACAGTACGTTTCTTCGAAAAAAAATACCCGATGGCCTGGAAATGTGTTTAGGTTTCGGAAACAATAAAAATTTTCATAATTTCGGAGAAAAATGTGAGGCCGACGGGGAGAATCATTTTAATGTGTGTTTTATGGAAATTTATGATATAACTAGAAATAAACTCTAAGTGACTTACTTGTAAAAGATTTTAAGCTGAGTGGACAGAATTTCTGCTTTTTTAATCGAGAAAAATAGTGTAAATATAGTGTCATTTTAGAGAATATATTTTGTCGATTTATTTGTATTGGAATTCAGCCTTGTGATTAAAAGACGCCTACGTAATATTCTTATAATAGGCTGATTTGAATGTAAGAAAGGGCTCTATTCATAACAACAGTCGTAGAAACAAAAAAAATTACTGTGTACAGGTTAGTTTATTAAAGCTGGCGAAGTACAGCATCTGCCTTGAAATGAACAGTAATGAGTTTTCACCTTGTTATCAACATGGAATTTGTGCTGAAGGCCGTGAGACAATTTTGGCGTATATTCAAAGGCTTCCTACTGGTAGGTCTCAGACTTGTCTTGAGAAATTGACACTGGACAGGTTTTTCTACTCGTCCAGGTCTGAGGTTAACTTAACAGGAGGCCCGACAGATTCCTGTTTTATCGTCTTCCACCCTTTTGTACCTGAAGATGGAAGCCATGACCAAGAAACAAACGTATATATTATAAGAAAGTATTGCCCTAAAACAATACCATTGGGAATTTTTGGGACTATCAATATTCGTAATAAGTACGGGGTGGATTTATAATCCTGTATGACGCTATTTTTATTAACTTCAGTAAGAATTTTAATATCTGTCAGAGATCCAAGAACATTTATAAAATATCTACAGCTGATATTACGGTAGTATACTTAGCAGATATATTTACCGAAAAATTAGCATATTATAATCCTAGATCAATTTAACAAAAATTGTGTTTCTGAGTTTCTACTATTATCGTTATGAGAGATATGAAAACAAAATGGTCTAAGTGTTTCTTTTATTTTCAGAAGTGATTTTAGTCATGTAAAAGTTGTCCTTAAAGCAATAAATAAAATTTACGCAATGTAATAAAATGCTATTGAATAATATTACTATAATAGAAATATTAAAAGTACGCCATTTTGTAACAACTACCTTCAAGTTTCGTGACAATCCAAATTAATGTCACAACCTTACTATTGTCTCCTGTAATTCGTACAATAGATTATAACCACCTACCTACAATTACACGTTAGTCTGCACGAAGGACGTTTCTTAATCTTAATCATTACGACTCGCTCTTCGTAATTGTGGGATACATTTGTGTACAGCTTTATCTAATGAGTTCCGATGTTAGAAATCTCTTATGTAATGAATATATTCATCAGGTTACAGTCGATCGATGTCGAGTGAAAAGATCATGTAAGTCTGTCTGATAAATGTTATAGTTCAGTGAGATTTTCTGATGGGAGCACAGTGAGAAAGTATCAGGTTAATTTTATTAAGATTATTAATGTAGACCTTGTTTCAATCTGTATGACGTATGTTACGCGAAACGGCGAAGGCACAGTCGAAAGGGCTGTCGGAGTTCAATAGCTGGCAGAAAAACTCCATTTTGTTTCCTCATTGTCTCTTCCAAAAGGATTTTGAGATTGATAGAATATTTTATACTCTGGTGTAGAGAAAATATCAGATAAATTTAATTTTAAAAAAGTCAAACAATTTATTTTTAAAACAAAATGATGCGATATTCTAATTATTTATTTTGTAATAAATATTCATTTTTAGTATAGTTTCAATTATAAACTGAGAATGCCAACACGATCTATTTCACGAAGTGAATATTATTTTATTTATCACTATTTGTCTTTTAGAATTTAGATTATTATCTGTTTTCTGTTCAATTTAAAAATGGAGATGCTAATCATAACATCTTCAAGATTTTATCTCTTATTACTTATTTTATTTATATTATTGTTTGTAATACGAACAGTGTTTTAATTTTTATTCACAATTTGTATTAAACAAAATAATATTGTTATTAAAAAGGAAGAAAACACAAAATTCATAAATCAAGCTTCTAAATATATTAAGTCGGATTAAGAACAGATTAAGAAGAAGAAGAAGAATTCGCTGTGATTACATTTTTGTACATACCTACGTAATTAGTCATAAGGACAAGTTTACATGTTGATAGGAATTAGTTTAATATCCAGATAATATGAAGAATTAAAGGAGGACAAGGACTGTAATGCAGTGTAATCGGAAAATGTGGAGTGACTAAATACAAGAATTAAATTGTGTAAAGTCTGAAGGATCTTGCAGCCTAACCGTGCTTATTTGATTAAACAACCTCGAAATTGTAACGGATGAGTACGCATTTAGTGCACATGAGTTAGAGACACTAGTTAAGTTTGCTTGTCTTAGCAACTTAACTTGCATTGAGATTAAACTGGTAATGTATAATTTAATTCTCGGTAAGTTTATCCATAATGACCTTTATAAACAGGCTTATACTAAAAATTTGCTATTAGCTTTGCCTATTTCTGAACAGCAGCTTCACTCCGAACAATGTGTAGGTTATCACAGCCAACGGCTGTAAAGTATTAAGCAATTTTGACTTTGGTGAATGTATGGAACTGTACAAAATTGGTTAGTTCTGGAGGGGGGCGGGTTTCCTTTAATTTGAAACGAAATGGAAATCATGATTTGCTGAATTTTAAATGATGAATAATAACGGTGGATTGATTAGGAAATCTGCTTCATATTCATAAAGATCTGGGTTCAAATCTGGGGACGGATACCGACTATTTTTACAGATGGTTTTCATTACTTTCGTCAATTCTTTTAAGAAATGCCGAGACATCGTGTTAAATATGCAACGATCATTATTATCCTGCCAATTGATGCTATATAACCTATGCTCCACGGTCATAAGACAAATTCATTTAATGGATTAGACCGAATTTTTCAGATCCCCGACTTAAACGGAACGGATTAATTGTCCATGAACGTGTTAGCATTGAAAACAGTACCTGCCAGCAGCTAATACATTTTCCGTGCTTGGATCCAAGTTTATCTTTAGTATTCATATAAACAGAATTTTTACAGCTTTACATCTTTCGAACAAATTTCTTAATCGGTAATATAAGAAGTTTACTTTGAAACATACATAAATATATTGTCCATATCTATTATATTTTATTCAAAATCCATGTCTGTTTGTAATGAAGCCAGTTTTACTGTTTATTATCTATATTAAGTTACTAATTTGTATGTAAGATTTGAGGTTTTCACAACTGTGAGTATGAAGATTTCTGTCTTCTGGGTTGCTGCGCTGTGTAGTCTGGTCGATGTTTACCAACGTTTCAGAGGTCATACTGCCTCTGTCATCAGGGCGATGAGTGTTTATCTGAAACGTTGGTTAACATCGACCAGACTACACAGCGCAACAACCGAGAAGACAGAAATCTTCATACTAATTTCTATTCGAATTGAATAAGTTCAAAACAGCAAACTCGTAGCGACTTACCGTGTAAGGGTCCGATGATCACCATGCAAGCAATCATCAGCATGATCACCCTCCTCTTCCTGTTGTTTTTCCCATCCTTGAAGGCGACTCTAAAAGTCTCGGAAATGTGACGAATGTCAAAGAAATCCCTCAGAAACCCACAAGTCTGTTGTTTGGATGCTTGTTGCGTCTTTCTCTCTTCTTCTGTTTTCTGTCGAGGCGACTCTTTAATCCTGAACAACCCGTAACAAAAACTCATAACGTACATTGTTGCAGATATAGAGAAGATACCATAAAACCCGATTTCCTTGTAGAGAACCCCACTGAGAGCCATTCCCACAGGAACACCAAGTGATACGAACAGGTTCACTATACCAATCCTTAGCGTTCTCATTTCAACTGACGTCACATCAGCAATGTAACTGAAGATAGCCATAAACATTGTGAACCATCCACCTGTAAGGGCAGGGAATAGAGATTCAACCAGTCCAGCAACTTCCATAGGCAATTCGAAGAAGAAGTAGGTGCAGAGGATGAGCCCAATGCAAGTTAGGAACTCTCCAGTTATCGGAAGGAGCATGCAGGGTTTCCGTCGTCCGTGTCTGTCCGACCAGGACCCTAGGAAGAGCATCAGGAAACACGGCAGAGCGCTCTGTACCATCGTCTTCCAGATGGTCATCCCTGCCACCAGCTGCTGTACCTGGGTTTCTTGTTCCGTGTAGTTCGCTGTTTGGCGAGCGGTGAGGGCGGCACAGACTTCATCATCGTATCTGAGGTTTACACGACAGGCTTTTTCCAAGTTGAGATTCTGTGTAGCTAACATAGCCAGCACGCATGGCATGATGTAACAGGCCAACATAGGCTCAACCGTAATGTTCGACGTGAAGTATTCCCACTTCTCACGGTTTGTCATGGTCTTCCACGGCGTCTCTCTTGCATCACCGCCATTCTGAACTTGAGTTTTGGTTTTCTTTTCGTCAGACATATTTATGAAAATCTTAAAAAATGAGAGCAGTAAATATCAATACTACCACTGTAATACTTGGAAACGTCTCACTTAAATTTTTGGCTTTTTTAAGTATTAAAATATTTGTAACCAGAGATTTTCTCGTCGCTTAGATATGATATAAAAATCTTGCAGATAGTTTACATTACATACAGTCAATGTTACTGCCACTTACGTATTTATATTATCATAAAAATTATTTTGTTGTACGATGATAATTATGTCACCTTTCACGAAAATATTAATTTGATGATCGAAGGCGTAAAGAACAACTGTAGGCAAATTGTTCAAACTATTATTAACATTTCATTAAAGACAACGGGTCTGAAATTTTTTCTGTCACACGAGTTAGATTTCTTTGAAAATATTAGAAATATTTTTGCTTCTAGGTGTCAAAACAAATCTGCTACTGACAACAGACATAAAATAGGCTTTATAGCATTTATTTGAATATTTAAAACCACGGAAACAAATTATATTATCTACATTATAAAGCAGACAACGAAATGTATTAAAAATCTTAATATTATCACAGAAACACTGAATATTTGCAGGACGCTGTGTGAAGGCCGATGGGGCATTGACCGTGTGATAGATTCTCACCTTACTAGACGAGGGAAAAGTGACTGAACCACTGTGCCGCGCGTTGAGAACTGGTAGCTGCTGTCTACCGGGTCTGCGAACAGACTGTCGTGACACCACGTGAAGCTGAAGTTTTCGTTACCCCTCCACCTCTCCACAGTATTACTGCTGGCATTCATTAGTTTGATGATGTCACATGAATCAGGAAATGCGGGTGGCAATCACATTCTGTCTTCCACAATTTCACAAATGCCGCAAAATCTCGTGGAACAAAGTCCTTTTTGAGTATACAATATTAGCTCAGCTACTTAAATCCTCCGACTTGTAAGAAACCTGAAGATTTGTTATCAAGTTCAGAGGAAATCGCTATTGCCTGCACAAAGTCGATATGGTCCGTAACCTCCATCCCTATTTTGTTTAAGATTCGTTTTAATATTATCTTTCCATTTAAGCCTAAACCTCGCTCCTTAAGATTTTTGTTTAAAATCTTTTGTGCATTTCTCATCTCTGCCATGCGTGCTACAACCTGGTCAGTTTTGTTCTACTTGATTGATCATCATGATGATGGTGAAAAGCTTCTTCAAATCTTTGAAATTATAGGGAAGGTATTTTACTAGTTGCCTTACGTTTGTTTGTTTTTGTTTTTTTAACTCAAGTTTTTATTCCACTTTCAGATATGACTGTGCGTTTTATGTGCTTGTACTTAGAACAATACTACCCGTACAAAGTATTATTTACAAATATTTGTTTCGTTAGACTAGGCTGTATGTTTCTATAAAATGTCACGAAAGCAATTCGTTTTAAATTCCGCCTTAGCAGTGATATTTTCATGTTTCTTCATTTTCATTGGTGCATTCTCCAAACTTAAGGACGTTCATTTTTTGTAGCAGCTCCTCACTTAACTTGGCACGCTCTACAGAAAGCTGTGAACCGTTGTAATTTCTTACGTTTAATCTTATTTTAATTTTTGCATTTATTTTGTTTTTGTGTTACGAAAAAAATATGCTTTTCGTTCTGTCATCGGTGGAAATACGAAAGTATTTAAAGTCACAGTCATATATTGTGGTGTAAAGCACGCCTATGGAAGCTGTATGTACTCTGTGGAGTATGATTTTCCATTCTTGTTTTTCTTTGCTTTCTGTTTTATTTATTTAATTTTTGGGAGTGAGCATCTACTTCTGAAATAATAGGCAATTCCGTCACGTTTGACTGTAGGAGCTCACTGTTTGTGGGATTTAAAAAGAGAAAAACTAAAATTATGTTCTCGTAGCAATAAATGCAAACGGGACTATGGTGGCGCCTATGGTGGGGACTTGCAGAGTCTGCTTTTGGCGGAAGTCTGGAGTCAGGCGGAGGTTTTGTTTTGGTATGTTTGGTACAAATCTAGCTTCAATTGCCTTAAATATTGTTACACGTTTACTGGTCATACTGCACTAAAGTGAAACATAAACGGAAAAGTGATGAACTGTGCGCCGTTAGCAACCTTCCTTTCACTAATTTCATATTCATTTCGTGAAGATGTTATTAGTATTCGAGGTTCCTTCTGTCTAAACCCACCAGAGAAGGTCGTGTAGCGAAAGGAATACGAACTCTGCAGTACAATCCTGACCTTATTTACATGTGATGTAGAAAGAATATGAAAAGTTTCGAAGCAGTGACACGACAAGTCACGAACGCAGTTGTTTTATTCTTTCATTCGTGATTCTACTTACAGTCCACGACTGTAATCTTGAGACTTGCGGGGTGAGATAGGGTCTGCCTTTAACACTACGGACTTCCGGAATTTCTTGCAAGTCTCAAGATTACAGTCGTGGACTGTATGTAGTTCTCTTTTCGGTGACTACCTTCAAAAACCGCATTACTCTGTTGACAGCTGTCACCCAAACCGATATTCTTAAAAGTCAAAGCAAAGCTTATCAGTAATGGTGCAAATATAAGTGGTTTATAGAAATAAAACATAAATACTTAAAGGTTAATAAAAATTTAATAAACTTTATATTTATCAGTATTTTGTAGTCTGAGAAGTTTTCTTATCGCATTCATTGTTTCGACCTTAGTTCATTTTTACAAATTTACTGTTGCCAATCCAGAGATCTAAACAGATTTATCAAGCATTTTAGGGGGTTCATATTAAACTAATTTAATCATGACGCTGTAGTTACGTTGTGCACTTAGGTTTTTTTCTATTCTCTTTCATTCTTAGCAGTCTAATGCCTGTTTCGGCCTCAAAGCGCTATTTAATACGGCAACATAATCTAGGATTCGGAGCACTGATACCCCTTCCAAAACGAAATTCCGCTTGCTTGAAAGCATCAAAAGACAGGTAAAATAATACGCCTAATAAGACAATAATACTCTTTAACCAGAACATTGAACACATGATAATATTACACGGGAAGTTCATAACAATTAAAGCTAATAATGGTGCAAATCTAATGATGTTCCAAGCATCTATCTAAATGTAATTTTAAAAGTACTAGAATTAAATATTAAATCAGATGAGACAATGAGGACTTTTTTCTTCAAACAGATGATAGGTTCGGTCCCACGTAAATGTAGGTAAAAATGTGTCCTTTAAGCACACTGAAATTATCCTTGTAGTATGTAAATAGAATGGAGAAGAAAGGTAATATATATATGACTCTTTTCTAATGCTTCGTGGAAAATTTCCGGATTTTTAAGCCTTGATGTTGTCGTATTAACTGTGTAAGATCCGTCACGGATGTTGATTTTTGTAGAATCGCGAAAATACGAAACAACTACTCAGAAGTTTACACTGTGTCACTACATCATTGACGTGTACACGTGTTCATGTTAAGCTTAGGCCGTGTTGAAGAAAGAAAGCTTGACATCAATATGCGTACAAAGTGAAAATTTATTGTTTAAGGCTGTTTGAAGTCGTGTTGTAGCGGTTAACACTTTTTTGTACTAAGTGCGATATCCCAGATCCTAGACTTCGACCCAAGACCAGGTGTACTGGCTGAGATATACATGGTATTCCTCTGTTATTTCAAGTATTTCCTGGAGTACTATATTCTGTATGCCACGACCGTTTCCTTTCTGCCTCATCCTAAATCTGCATTCATGATCGTGCTATATGAAATACGCAGTTCACAAAATATATGACAATAACAAACGTGACTTGGTTATGAGTTGTCTGAGGTTAGTCTGCGGGATTTTTTATTTTCTTTGCTTTGTTATAGGTCCTCTTCCTGCCGAAATTATTGATAATATGCAGAGAAATTACGTTGTTTTAGCCCGTTTAAAAGACAGCACTCAATTCCTGATATAGGAATTTAGAATCAAGGCTTAACTTTGTTGGCACGTACATGGTAAACGCAACCGTGCTGAAAATGTCTACTGTGACTAACTCCCTGGTGTGGGGATTTTCTTAAAACGTTTACGACTACTTAGCTGATCAAATAATTCCCCGCGCTTGTGTAACGAAGGTTTATTACCATCTTCATAAAATCCATCAATTGGACCCTGTCCTGAAATAGTTGAAACCAGTTCACACCTTCACATTCTGCTGATTCAAAATCAGTTTTAATGCATACCTACTCTTCTCTAAACAGTCTCTTACCATCAGATTTTCCTATCAAGGTTTCATTTTTTTTCTATGCATGCGATGTCTCCCTGTATTTATTAGTTACCGACGTAACCAAGCTATTAACATTACGTTAAGGGTTCATATTATGAACTTTCTATCAATGTAACTGTCTCCATCCTCCTCCTACCGCCTAATTCTTATACCCGAATATTGTCTGAAATACTTTATCAGGTACCCACAGTCTCTTATAAATATAATAAAGGAAGCATCTTATTAAAAGTATTATTGGAACATTTGGAAGACAGTCCTTAAAGTGTAATATAAAGGGTGATGGAGATAAAATAACGGGTGGAGGGGGGCATGACAACGAGCTCCAATATCTGTAGCAGAGGAAGTGATAGCATATCTGCGGGTCTCTTGGAAAAGTTAATATTAAATTATCATTAGTTTTGTTAAGGATTATCAAAAAAAATCACGCAATCCATTTCTGACACATGTTCTGTTTGTCAAAAAATATATTACATTGACATCAGAAAACAAAAACAATGTCATGTTAAGTATTGGAAATGTCCACCGCATTTAGCCATGCATGCATTCATTCTTTACCTCAGCCCGGCGACGAAAAAGGTTCGCCAGATGAGATATTGTCGATTTTTCTGACACAGGAAAATCGGGAAATTTCTCCGGAACTCAGTCTGGAAATTTTAGTAGAAACGAGATGCCGGGTAGTGTTCGACAACGAACACTCGTTGAACTTTTAAAAAGAACATCATTGTATTTCGACTGTTGAAAGAGAACTGACGGATTGTCGCCAACAGGTTACAACATGAAATTGCCTGCGTGGGCTTTTGTATAGATCCAGCGATATTGTATGTTTATTCATCCAGTCGAATTACATTGGATTGAATTGCAGCCAACAGTGAATATTTAAATATGGGTTGGAGGCCTTTTCGTTCACTGCACAATTTCTATACTACGCCACTAAAACTTTGACTGGCCACTTACTCATCTATGTTAATGTTCCTTATTTATTGCCTTCTGGTTTACACAGTACAGATCTATTTTTCTTGCTGGTATCAATCGTTTAAACTTTATGCACCTGGCCTTTTTTCATACGCCCCACTTTTTACCTGAGACGTATGTGTCGACCAAGTTTGTTCGGTCCCCATAAAATACTTGAACTGTAGATGCTGTTTTAAGAAATGTAATTTTCACCCGCATTTACTTCACACTGGAGAGTAAACCAGCCGAAACATACCAAGTTTAAGCAAAGTGTGTCGTCAGTAACCGGACAGTTTTGTTTAAGAACACATCCGTGTGTCATGACGGCTGAAATAAGGGCATCCGTTATGCTTCGTTGCTATTAGCATTCACATCAGGTACAAGTGTCCACAGGCATTTGTCTTTTAAAGATGTTCTCCTACTACTGGGGTTCCCCTCTTAGTACTACACGTTAACGTCGCTAAAGCCACAAATCTTTATTACATGCACGAGTTATGTAATGAAACCTCCTTCGGCGAAAAGCTTTTGCGG